AAACAATACTCCCCCTGAGTTCCACACTCCCCCTTTTTGCCAATGATAGACAAAGCACGGTCAAGCATCAGAGTGGTTCTCACTGTCAGACTTAGCAGCATCAGCAGCAGAAGAATCAGTCAAGCTTAAGCGGAGAAGAACGGTAGCCAACTTAGTACGGGCTCCTGTCCGCTGCTTTGAAATGATACCATGAACAGTCTCAAGCTTAGATACACGGGCCTTTAGACGAAGAGAGAGTTGGACATCCTTCGCATGTGGCGAATCATCTGCCACAGTATCAGCATTAGTCGTGGAGGGAGCAACCACCGGCGTAACATCATGGATGTGACCTCCAGTCAGAAGACGATGATCAACAGTATACAGCAGAGTCAGACTGATCACCTCACTAGGCATTGGCTCAAGGCCTTGAGTCGTTAGAACTCCTAAAATCAGATTAGGAAAGGGCAACCTTACCTTCTGCTCTTGTGGATAGATCAAGGTGAGAATATGACAATAAATCCAGCCCCCCAAATCAATCGCCATTTTTGTTCCAATATGAAACAATAGACCTGCCAATTGATTGCCAACCGTATGAAAATGAGCCGATGGAAGCCAGTTGTGAAGGGCAAGACGATGTAAGATGACATATTTGGAGGTGAGTTGAGAGCTAGGTAGATAATCCTTTTCAGCAGTAGGCCATGCATCATCAGTCTGTCCACCTGTGAGGGTCTTTGCCACTAAATCCCAGTCCGTGATTGCTTCTTCGTGCACTGATTTCAAACCATAATATTCAGTGATCATGTCAGGACAAAAAATATACCATTTACCTCGAATGAAAATTTGCATTGGCCGTGGCCCAGTTAGGATGTCAATCTCCTCATTAAGATTGCAGTAGAATTCATAAGTTAGGAGCTTCGAATAAGGGCAGATCGAGGTAACAGTCTTCAACAGGCCCACTTCACTCAGCAAAGGCAAGATGTCGCAAACAGAATTCATCTGGTGTTCATCAACAGATCTCTAAACAATAAGATCTCTCCGGATCATCGTGGACTATTTTCCTTGAGCAGTAGATGAGACAAATTGAGGTTTATAGATGGATGTATCAGGATTGGCATCAGTAGGTTGAACCTCAGGCGTTACACTTCGTCCTCTAGAGCGTGTAATTGGTTTTCCCTTCCGGATAGAAGATGTGGGAACCACATCAGGAGCTTTTTGCTTGATAGATAATCGCAGGGTCTTGAACACTTATTGGACAGGAGGATTAGATTTAGTATGGACAGACTCATTAGACTTTCTCTTTTTCTCGGCTTGAACCACATCACGATTGTCATCACCAGATTCCACCACTTTCACAGGGATGCTCTTCCGTTTGGATTTTCTTGTCTCTTTGGATGGGGAATGAGCAGAAGGGCTTGGAGACACAGAGTGGCTGGAATCAGAGATATGAGCAGAGGAACTTCCAAGCAGATTTGTAATTTCACGAATCTTGAAGGTAGTTGAATCAGGATGTGCAGTAGCTTCAACAGTTTGGTGCTTAGACACAGGAGCTTGCGAGCCATATATTTCAGCAAGGATTTTATCGTCTTCACTAGACGACTCAGAAGGATGAATCACACGATATGGTTCATTTTGAACAACACCCTCAACTTGTGACCTTGAGGGATCAGCAACCTCAATTTCTATTGGTATTTCGGTGGGTTTTTCAGATGGGCAGAGTTCTTTTGGAGATGCAGTAATCTCAGAAGGGGGCAAAGCAACTTGATCAGCAGAATAAACAATCAAACTCAGATCATTGGACTGCTCAGACGGTTTATCGTTTTCATCAGACACAACATCAACAACTTCCTTCAAAGGTTCAGGCTTCGTAGAGGGGATGCATGGGGGATCATCGGACACAGAGGATTTCACAGATATTAACGCATTCACATTGTCAGAAACAGTAGGCACAGCAGTCGGAATAGCAGCAGATACAAAATCATCAGGCTTATCAGGAGAAATTTCAATAGGGAAATCAGAAGTATTTGACCTGTTATGGAGAATCTCAATCCGGTGTCTGGCTTCATTCTCGGCAGCCTGAAGATATAGGGGTTGTGCAGCTGCTCGACGATGGGAGATCTCTTCTGACTCAAGAGCCCTTTGTGCAAAGTACTGAAGAAACGCCCCAGCACGATTTCCATCAGAGGGCTCTGGAATAGATGCCGGACTAACCTCATCACTCGCTTCGAAGGCCAGCAACAAGAGCTCGCCAGTGTCATCATCGGACCAGTCAGCGTAGAACTCTGGGTAATCGGATAGCACTATGACCATGATTTCATCGCGTAGAAGGGGATCAAGCTTCAACTTCTTCTTCATAGCTAACTGGAGCAGTGTTTTGACATGCTTGGTGGCTGTCTCTTGTGAATGAACCTTTCACCCAAGCTTGATGATAATGTCACGAACTGCATCCGCCATTGGTATGAAATTTGGGAAAGCGGAGGAAGAAACCCTAGATAGAAGAGCAGAGAGAAATCAATCGGTGAGCAGAGATATTTTGAACTTCTTCGTTCTTCCAAGCCTGACCCGATAAACAAATATAGACCCAAGGGCGAAGTACCCTAATAAATGCAGCTCGTCAGATTACATGCAGAGCCGATGTGATTGACGCAACGATATACCTCCTTTTTAGGTAAGAAACGGATGCGAAGCAGATTTGAAATTTGAAAAAAGGCTAATTACTTTATGGTAATATAGGTTAAGATATTCTCTTAACAAAACAGAAGAGAGATTTAAAAGGAAGTCAAAGCTGGTAATTGACCAGGAAACTTAATACCATATACTCTCCTTCTGTATAGCTTACTGCCTTAGTAATCAATCCTGCAGATTCCCAGAGCAGACCTGAGAATCTCAACCGATTTGCATCTAGGGGCTTAGTCAGAATGTTAGCCAATTGCTTATCTGTTTGAATGTATTCCAACTTAATTTCCTTAGACTCTACCAAGTCTCTGATGTAGTGATGCCTTATGTCAATATGCTTCGTTCTGAAATGCTGAACTGGATTCTTCGAGATATTAATTGCACTGACATTATCACAGTAGAGTGTCATAATTCCTTGAGTAAGACCATAGTCTAAAAACATCTGTTTCATCCATACTAATTGAGTACAGCATCCCCCAACGGCTACGTATTCTGCCTCCGCAGTACTTAAGGAAATAGAATTCTGTTTTTTACTCAACCATGATACCAAATTCTTACCAACAAAGAAGCATCCTCCAGAAGTACTCTTTCGATCATCAATATTTCCTGCCCAGTCAACATCACAGTATGCAATCAGACTCAGTTCACTGTCCTTGGAATACCAAAGCCCGTATTGAATTGTTCCTTTTATATATTTCAAAATCCGTTTAGCAGCTATCAGGTGTGATTCTTTTGGATAAAATTGATACCTCGCACATATTCCAACACTGAACATTATGTCTGGCTGACTAGCAGTTAGATACAGCAGACTCCCTATCAGACTCCGGCAGACTGTGTTATCCACTGATGCACCAGTATCATCTTTTGATACTTTCGTGGAGGTAGAAATAGGTGTCCTGGATGGTTTACATGAATCCAGATCAAACTTCTTGACAAAATTCTTAGCATATTTTCCCTGTGAGATAAAGTACCATTCTGAGCTTTGTTTGACTTGCAGCCCTAGGAAATAAGTCAGTTGGCCAACCATGGACATTTCAAATTCTTCCTTTATCACTTTTACAAGATCATCAGTATACTTCTGTAAAGTAGAGCCAAAAACAATGTCATCCACATAGATCTGAGCAATGGTAACATGATTCCCAGTGGTTTTTATGAACAGAGTTTTATCAACATTTCCTCGCTTATACCCATGATGTAACAGATACTGTGTCAGACGTTCGTACCATGCCCTTGGTGCTTGCTTGAGACCATAGAGGGCTTTTCTGAGCTTGTAGACATGAGATAGATGATCTGGATCTTCAAATCCTTTCGGTTGAGCCACATAAATATCCTCATGCAAATACCCATTCAAAAATGCTGTTTTAACATCCATCTGAAACAGTGTGAATCCCAGAAATACATGCTACTGCCAACAAAATTCTGATTGACTCTAGCCTTGCCACAGGAGCAAACGTCTCATCATAGTCAATTCCCTCTATCTGAGTATAACATTGAGCAACTAATCGAGTTTTGTTCCTTGCAACATTTCCAGCTTCATCAGTTTTATTTTTAAAGATCCACTTTGTTCCGATGACGTTGACACGATCAGGTCTTGGAACCAGATCCCAGACATGATTCCGGTCAAACTGATGCAGTTCCTCCTGCATAGCCTTGATCCACAGATCATCCTGTAACGCTTCTTTTACATTCCTAGGTTCTATTTTTGACGTATAGCAGGCTGATCCGGATATTTCAATCAGATTGTTTCTCATTCGGCTTCTGGTATTCATTCCCTCTGTTTGATCGCCAATGATGTTGTCGGAAGGGTGATTTTTCTGTGTTTTGGTGGGCTTGTTCTTCCCCACATTATCGACAATAGACCTCTCTTGTCCTGAACTGTGTTGATCTTCATCATCTGAATCTTGATTTTTAGATCCGGTGTCCTCTGCTATGTCTAACTCACTTAGAGGAGATTCTATCTCTAGTTTAGGTACTAATGCTGCTACTATTTCGTCAGGGTAGGCATCTATAACAACATTTACTGATTCCATTACAGATTGAGTTCTCTTGTTATAGATTCGATAGGCTCGACTGTTTGGAGAGTATCCTAGGAAGATGCCCTCATCACTCATAGGATCAAACTTCTCTCTTTGTTCCCTATCGATTAGCACGTAACACTTTGTCCCAAACACATGAAAATACTTCAAGTTCAGCTTCTTCTCCTTCCAGATCTCATATGGCGTTTTGGACATACCTGGTCTCAGATAGACTCTATTCACTGTATGACATGCAGTGTGTACTGCCTCAGCCCAGAAACGTTGTGGTAGATGGGATGCATGTAACATAACTCTAGCCATTTTCTGCAAGGTTCAATTCTTTCTTTCCACCACACCATTCTGTTGAGCTGTTCTGGGGGCTGAGAATTCATGGGCTATACCATTCTCAGAGTAGAAATCTGAATATAATGAGTTTTCAAACTCTTTACCATGATCACTTCTTAATCTCTGAATTTTTATTATAGGCTCGTTCTTTTCTCTTTGAACCCTTATGCACAAGGTTCTAAAGGCATTGAAGGCTTCAGATTTTTCTCTTAGAAAATATACCCAGCTGAACATAGAGAAGTCATCTACACACACAAATATGTATTTCTTTCCTCCAATGCTTTCAGTCTGTGTTGGTCCCATAAGGTCTATATGGACCAGTTCTATACATCTCTCTGTAGTGATAGCTTTTACTACTTTGTGAGGAGTTCTTATTTGTTTCCCTATGGCACATGCACCACAAACCCCTTCTTGTTCTATTTTGATCTTAGGTATCCCTCTCACAGCATCCAATTTGATCATTTTGTCCATGTCTCTGTAGTTTATGTGACCTAGTCGTCTATGCCAGAGTTTTGTCTCATCTGATTTTGATAGGTGACACGCATTTTCATTAGTTAGCACATAACAGTTGTCAGAAGATCGTGTCCCTTCCATTACCAGTTGATCTACTTTATCCCTGACTCTGCAACAGTTACGATTGAAGCACACATTCCAGTTTTGATCGCACAACTGACTGATGCTAATAAGATTTGCCTTCAGACCACTGACTAATAAAACTTTTTCTAGATGAGGTAAGCCTGAAACATTTAGAGTACCTTTGCTAAATACGTTCCCTTTTTGTCCATCTCCATATGTAACTGATCCACTGCTTGGTTGAACAGCCATAAGACACTTGACATTGCCTGTCATATGTCTGGAGCACCCACTGTCGAAATACCATCTTGCTTTAGTTGTAGATGCAGCCAGAACTATAGTGGGGTAACAGATTACTTCTGACTTCCTGACCCAGACTTGTCTTGTGAAAGGTGTAATAGTCTTGTTCTGATATTTTTCCTTCATTTGGTCTCTGTAAAAGAAGTAACACTCAGGTCAAGTGTGACCTCTTGATCTGCAGTAGTGACACACGGGTACATATTGTCTGATTTTAGCAAATTTAGCTTTGAACTTTAAGTACTGAGATTGAGACGCCACTCTACCAAAGTCAGTTTCTGCATGTGTCTTTCCTTTTTCCTTTATATGGACATACCTGGATGACTGTCCAGTTTCATATCTGTGAGTTGATGTGTCAGTTGACGTACCTTCTTTGACGAAAATAGGAATATTTTTCGAAGATTCTCCTCGGTTGTAACCTAGACCCTTTTTGTCATTTGGATTTTGTCCAGAATCCAGAATTTTGTTTAGAGTTAATGTAGTGTCCATCATCTTTATGTTCTTCTTCTGATCCTCCAACTCTTTTATCAGTTTTCCTTCTCGAGATCTTATCTGAGTTATAAGATCTTCTTTTGTAACAAGTTCTGTGTTCGGTTTCTTCATAATATCATCTCGTTGTTTTAGCTCTTCATTCAGATTTTTATTAACTTTCACCAGTTACTCCCAGCTTGCAACCAGTTTAGCAAATTCCATCTCTAGTTGGGTATGCCTTTCTTCAAAGTCATCTGTCGAAATATAAGACTATTCATCAGATTCATTTCCCTAAGACTGGTTTTCTGTACCTGAGAAGAAAGCCACAAAGTTTCCCACGTTGTCATCTAACTGACCATTAGATCCTTCTTCCTCATCGTCACTTAGTGTAGCTACAGACATAGCCTTCTTCCTTTTGAGATACGTTGCACATTCCGCCTGTATGTGTCCAAATCCTTCACACTCTCGACACTGTACTGATCGATTGAGGGACCTGCCTGTGTCAGTCGAACTGCCTCGGGGTTGTCTTGGTCGACCAGTTTGAGTCTGATTGTTCTGTGTGAAAGACGGTGTATCTGTTTTCTGATATGAGGAATTACTGCCTTTATATTGAGTCTTGTTAGATTGTCCTTGACTCCTTATATTAAATCCTTTCAAGATCTTCTTAAAATTCTTGGTCAGAAGAGCCAAGGCTTCATCATCTATGTCATCAGTGTCTGACTCTCGATCAACATCAGCAACAAAAGCCACTGATTTGCCTTTTCTGTTTGCTGCAAGATCATCATCAGCCAACACTTCAAGTTCATATGTATGTAAGCTTCCTATAAGCTCACCAACACTCTTCTTTTCCCAGCCTGTGTGTTCCTGAATTGCGGTTACCTTCATTCGGATCGGAATCGCTTTGGCAAGGATCGTAGGATCTTTTTGACTACTCTTTCATCAGTGAATGGTTCGCCGAGTATTGAGGCTCTGTTCATCAGATTCTGAACTCGACTGTGAAAGACATAGATTGTTTCCTCTTCGTTCATTCTAAGTGCTTCAAACTCAGACAAAACCATTTGAAGTTTTGATTGCTTCACATCACTTGTACCCTCATACCTGGTTTCAAGAATTTCCCATGCTCGTTTTGCTTCCTTTACTCCAGTGACTAAGGTAAACACAGATTCATGCAACGATCCTTCAATAGAGTTCAGTGTTTTGTTGTTCAGGTCAGAGGCCGCCATCTCATTTTTTGTCCACGTCTCCATAGGTTTTGCCGTAGTGGTTCCATAAGGGTTCTGAGTAGTTAGATGACTCCACCCAGACAGAACGATAGGATAAACCCTGGTACCTTGTGCCTGGAGATAGATCTCCAAACGTGCCTTCCAGAATGAATAGTTGTGACCATCCAATTCTGGTGGTTTCATACTTGCATCCATCTTGAATAAAAACAACCAGCCAAAACACAAGCAGGCAGACAGACAACCGGCAACCAGAGATATTTCCAAAACAAAGAGAGCAATGCAAAAAACAACTTCCCGTACGGATCAAGTCACTATGTAAACTTAAAAGCTCTGATACCACATGTAATTTTGCAATCTCTTAGATTAATGATATTAATTAAAAGACTGACGGATTAGTCTGACGGATTCAGCGATGATATCAGTCAGATAGCTGAAACACCAATTAACTTGCGGAAAGATAAAACTAAGGAAGACAGCGAAAGAGAACAACACAAGAAGTTTTACCCAGTTCGATACAGTATGTATCTACATCTGGGGGACGATCACATAGGCGTCCAATCCACTAACAGTTCATCAAATGTACAAAGCTAGAGAATAGAAATCTCACCCAAGTGCCCCACACAAGGTAAGTACCCAGTATACACTGACTTAGTGGATTGTTGAAGACGGAGAGCCGTGCATACAAAAATCCAATGAAATCCCTTCACTTGGAGAGCTAACTCTGATGCAGTCCACTTCAATGACGCAATCTGATGTTGTTCCCACAACTGTGTGATCTTAGCGTCCTTTTCGTTTAAGCAACGGTATTTCTTCTCAAGTTCTTCATCATAATCAACTAGAACAAATTGTCTTGAGAAGCATCATAAAACCAAAAATATATTCTCTTAGTATATGTCGGAGTGTTTCTTTCTTCTAAAAAGCGTAACACTAATTCTTGATCAAATAAGAGTACTTATAGATCCCATATACGAACACTCTCCATAGATATCTCTGATTGTAGACGGTAGGACAATATAAGAAGAATGTAATCTTAAAGATCCGGTCCATACCTTTCCAAAGCAGATACGTTGATCTTCTTTCCAAAATAGACTTTTAAAAACGCGTTCTGCAAAGACGAAACATCATCGTAAAACAGATCTTCAGTGTCAATCCCTCTGATGTTGAATCTGATCAATCAGTCTTCTATAGAACAAATAGACCCAAGCTAACCCTATCTTAATTTGCCATAATAATATTGCCAATTATATGTTGGGGTTTTTGAGCAATTAAAACACTAACATGTTATTCTCCAACTGCAGGGCTAAATGGGAATTCCACAAATAAAAAATCTAATAAAGGAGGACTCTCTTTGTCTTCTTTTCTTATGTTCATTTTCTTAAACCTTTTTATTTTAAAATTCTAGCATTAGTTGAGCTTTATCCATAAGTCTTTTAAATATTCGGTAATGAAAATAATGCATGTTTTTGTCAACTCTTAGTGAGTATATTGCATGTGGCTAGTTGTTAATTTCTTTATATTTTGAATAACTTTGTAAAAAAAAATACACAAAAATAAAATAAAAATAGAATTTGCAAAGTCACAATTACCCTTATATGTTTTATGTGTTTTCTTTAATAATTTATATGTTGGTTTCACTTTATATTACCTTTTTCAAAATTTTAAATAATTCTTGAGTGCAATAAATTGTGGTGTAGTGCATGTGTTGGTTCAAGGATAACATTTATGGCATAAGTGAGGTGAAAAGAAAAGATTTTTAAAAAAAATATTTAAAAATAAAAATGACTGTTTTATTTATTTATTCATTTGTAATATTTCAGAGATTCTACTCCGCTAAATTAGCCACCTACACATGTCCCATAAATAAATAAATAAGTGTCGTGGTCTGGTTTATGAGTACACACAAAATTGAAAAACCCAAGCAAGTCTGGCGTAAAATGGCGAGGTTTTTGGGGAAGTTCTCTTTGGAAAAAGTCAAAATAGAAAAATAATGAGTGAACTTTGGAAGAGACGAGCAATTGCATTTCAATTTTAATAAATGCCTTGATCCTTATTTCCTTCATGTTTTGCACCTGCACTGTGATAGAATATTTCTGAATTTGGTTTAGGTTGAATTTGGTGAAATTTTCATATTTTTCTATTGAGTTTTTGTATAGTTTATATAAGGGGTGTCAGCACACGAGCACACCTTTTATATTTATTTTAGTTGTTAAAGTTTTTAATTTCTAGTCAAATGTTTTATACATTATTCTTTGAATTGGAACTAACTTTGCATTGGTGGCAATAAATTTGAAAGTCTATTTGGGTAAAGCTTGATCTTATGCTTGATTTTATTTTAATCTCTTTTCTTTATAATAATGCATTTGCTTGAGGATAAGCAAATAAATAAGTGTGGGGAGATTTGATAAACATTATTTTTATTGTTATTTCAATAATCTTTTTATAGTTAATATACAATAATTGATTAATTTTATATATATTTTATTTATTATTATTGTTATAAGTAGCTTTATTAATATTTTTCTATTTTAAGATTGTTTTTATTAAATTTGTCTATTATTTGAATTCTGTTAGTCTAATAAATCTTTGATCCTAATTTATTAATAATAATATTAGTAGTATATGATCAGTAGGAGTTTAATAAATGTAGATTAGTTATATGTGGTCTCTATTATATTAGTGGTAATTGTTTATGTTTTTAGTCTTTATTCTCTTGATATCATGCTACATTGTTATTTTCATGCCTTGTGTTTTTACTTGAAATTTCATTTCGTCAAATTAATTCCGATTGTTCTGTCAAATTAAATTCATTTAATATGTTTACCGTTTGATTACCGAAGAATTTAGATTTCGCATCAGTTACTCACATCACGGCAATTTAATTCTTTCACTTTAATTCTCCTTATTGTTTTTAGTACAATCTTCCTCATTGTTAATCTTTCTTGATGTCATTTTTGCTTCCTGGTAATTTATTTACTTAGCTTTTCTTTGTGTTTTGGTTTAGTTATTTTTATTAAAATTGATCATTATCTTTGGCATTTAATTCTAGAACTTTAAATTATCAAGTCAATTATTTCTTAAGTTTAGTTATTTAATTGCATATTATCAATTCTCTGTGGGTTCGACCCTTCCTATTTCACACTACCACTACAATAGACTCGTGCACTTGCGAGGACTATATTTAAATTGTCCATCAATAATCTTAGCTTTGATGCTCTCTCACCACACACGGCTACGGATGTGACAAAATCAGTGAATGAAGAAAATTTGGAGAATAGTCAAGTCACACTTAATCATACCTCTTTGGTGAATGAAGAAAATGTTGGTGATGCAAATGTGTATGAAACCCGTGAGATTGCACAAGAAGAGGTGTTGCAAATTGTGTCATTCACTCCGAAACCTTTATGTTGTGCCGAGCCGGTTGATACTACCATTGTCGAGCCATTACAACTTGAGAACACACCTCATGAAGATGCACTGGAGCTGGTAGATTCCACATTGCTGAGACCACAACCTACGGCACACACCGAGGTACATTCCCATCCTATTGATGTTGAAGCTTTAAGGAAAAATATTGTTGGAGATGTACGTTGGGAACTACAAGAAATGAAAGGAGATGTTTCTCAAGAGTTTGAAAAACTTCACCACCGAATTGGTAACGTTGATACCAAATTGGATGATTTTCACAAAGGTGTGTATGAAAGGGCCGAATCCTTGCTACTTGGCCAAGGATCAATGAAGGGTGATATGGCTATGATGACTAACAGGCAAGATGAACACAACCTGAAAGTCTTGAAAATGTTCATTGAATTGGGAAAGAAAGGAACCGATTGCGAGTCAAGATTACGGTTGGTGGAAAATTAGTTGAATGCCTTACTTCATCAAACCAGCGTAAACAACGATCTACTAGTTGGAGTTCAGAAAATCCAACTCGATGCTTCGACAAGTAATAAAAATTATGTTGCTGCTGCCGAAAAGGGGGAAAGGGCTAGAGGAGCTCCAAGTCATTTGGTAAATCATTTAATTGGACCGTCATCACAACGTCCACTTGTTGAGCTTGTTCGACCTCCAGGAGTACCATGAGGAGTCTCTCCTATGCCAAAAAATCAAGGTCGAGGTCGAGGAGGAAAGATTATGCAGTACCTCACGGCTTCTCAAGGTGGAAGTTCACAAGAATGAGAAGTTAGATCACGTCAAGAGGGACCGAGTCCACAAGACTGCCCAAGATCATCACCTTCAAAATCAATTTATGATGAGACAAAGATGAAGTTAGTACGTGAGTTGGAGACATTCTTCGGGCACTCAAGCAACGAAATGGTAGATGGAAGATCATTCGAAGAATGTGTTGCTTGGTACCAAGCCGAAGTGTTGCGGGGTGACAATATTCAAGAAGCATACGGGAATTATGTAACCGAGCAAGTCACCGCACCATACCAACTCAAGGAAGGTGAAAATGATTTCAAGAAGCTAAGGGCACACGTGAATGCCTTAATTGGCAAGAGGTAAAAATGAAGTCTCTTATTCTTTTTGGTGTACATAATCCTAGCTAGCTTGTTCGAATTATATCTTTTGGTACACAATATAATAGCTAGCTCACGGCTTATCTAATTTAATTGTCTAGTGTGTTTATTTAATTGTCTGAGAAAATAAAATTGAAAGGGGGAA